GGGAGCTTAATTATTGTGAAAACAATAACACTTTATTTTCCCGAAGTAGTTCATGTTGTTCAGCAAAATATAATGGCAACACTTTACAAAATAGTAACATCTGTTAATTTTAGTTATCATGAACTATAACTATACCGTTCATTGTTAATTCATGTTTGTTTATAATGCATTAGTTAATGTTAATTGAAAGTTAAAATGTGTTAGTACATAATAATATGAATATGAATAAATGCTATATTATATGTAATATAAGCTACAAGTTTTCAGTCAAACGACAGGCACACAATAGAAACTCGCTCACCATCTGTGGCGACTTTATCTAGAGCCACGTTGTGTTTGTGTGACATGTAACCCAAGAAGGAGAAGATGACGAAGCCAGAGAAGAAGCTGGTCAGAGAGTTGATGGAGCTGGTGATGATGGCGTCTCTGTAACACAACATCACTCAGTTCAAACATGCAGACACATCAAAGGGCTTTGAATTCAGCAGTGAAGTGTGAGAAACTCTGTGTGTGTGTGTGTGTGTGTGTGTGTGTGTGTGTGAGTGTGCGCGTTTTTGTGACAAATGAGGACATAAATGTGTATAATGACAAAGGTATGACAGGTATTACAAGGAGAAGGTGACTTTTCAGGACATTACCCCATGTCCCCACTTTTCAAAACGCTTATAAATCACACAGAATGGAGTGTACTGAAAATCTGAAATAGCAAAAAGTCTCCTGTGAGGGGTAGGTTTAGGGGTAGGGTTGGTGTAGGGCAATAGAATACACGGTCTGTACAGTATAAAAACCAATACGCCTATGGAGAGTCCTCTTAAACCATAAAAACCAACATGTGTGTGTGTGAGTGTGTGTGTGTGTGTGTGTGTTTGGGCTCTCGCTGCACTGCACGACTCCTCTGCTCACCTGTAGCAGTTGTTGCTGAATTTGTTGTAGCTGGAGAAGGCGATTAGCACACCAAACCCCACTCCCAGAGAAAAGCAGATCTGCGTGGCGGCCTCAATCCAGACCTGCGACACAAACGAAACACGGCCGCCGCACAAAGGGTCCGCACAACAGCTATCATTAGAGATAATTGCAGGAAACTCATTCAGCAGAAAGATGAAAGACACTTGTGAATACAGGGTAATTTTGCAAATTGCTGCTGCACACATGTGTCTAATCTAATTCTGAAATTGCCGCTTTGAGGTTTCTTTGCCAAGTGGTGCTCCGGGAAAGAATCGCAGATCGTGGAAAAACTTACTTAAAGCTGATAGTAACTTCACCTGCCGCTGCGCCACGAGGACATGAGCGATTCTTATGAGATTTATTCATAAACACACACACACACACACACAAGTCTGAATCTGTGCGACTGACTGATCAAAACTCTAATATAAATGTCACAGACTTTCAAAGAGCGATAAACCTTCTGCTGCTCTTTAATCCAATTATACTGCATGTGCATTTAAAGGAGAGTGTTACACATCTCAGCAGGTGTGTGTGTGTGTGTGTGTGTGAAAGAGAGAGAGAGAGAGAGAGAGAGAGAGAGAGAAACACCAGAAGTGTATTTGGGAACATCCTAAAGCTTTGGGACACTTCAATGCTAAAATTATCGAAATATCAATGATTGGATATTTGGATATTGTTTTATTCCAAAAAGGTGTTATTTTAGTAGTATGGTTAGGCTTTTAACACAATTACTACTATTATCTTTCTATATAAAGTCTATATAAAATGAGATACACTACTGTTTATAAGTCTGGGATCGGGAATTTTTTTTTTATGCTTTTGAAAAAAGTAGGGTGTAGGGTGATAGAAAATACAGTTTGTACAGTATAAAAATCATTACGCCTATGTAATGTCTCCATAAACCATAAAAAAACAACATTTGTGTGTGTGTGCGTGTGCGTCCACCTTGTCCTCATGTTGCTCCCTTGACACAGAAATACACTCCCGAATAAATAAAGCCTCATCATCTTTTGGATGCCTACGCAGCAGGGTTTTTGAAAACCATAACCTGAAGATCAGTAGCAAGGTCGCTGTTTACAATGCGGTATGTCTCTCCACTCTGCTTTATGGGACAGAGTCATGGACCCCATACCGCCAGCACATTATTAACCTAGAGGCCTTCCATATCCGCTGTCTACAGAAGATCTTCAGTTTGTCCTGGGAAGCTCGAATTCCCCACACACTCATTCTCAGAAATACTGACTCAATCTGCATGGAAGCAGCAGTGGCCCAAAAACATCTGGGTTGGCTAGGGCACACCATACGCATGCCTGAACATCGCCTGCCCCGCCAAGTCTTCTACAGTCAACTAATGGGCGCAAAGTGCTCTGCTGGAGGGCAAAAACGGCGCTTTAAGGATTACACCAGGGACCTCCTAAAGCGAGCGAACATTCCCCTCACGCAACTTGAATCTCTGGCACTTGACAGGTCAGCCTGGCAGGTCACCTGTGCCACTGCAGTCTCTCAAATACATCAAACCAACCAAGACCGACGATCCGAGAGACGCACTAAGAGACACCAGAGGGCGGCTGGTACCCCCCTGGTATCTGGTTTCCCTTGCTCCATCTGCGGAAGAGTGTGCGGCTCAAGGATCGGACTCGACGCCTACGAGAAGTGGCACCAGCGGCAACATCGCTAAACCCACCCCCTTCCCATTCCCATCTCTGGAGCAAGCGTCATCATCGAACACAATGGACAGCTAAGTGTGTGTGTGTGTGTGTGTGTACCTGAGCGTCACACAGGCGCAGGAAGTCCACGCTAAGGTAAGCTTTAATGCCATCGATGGCTCCAGGCAGTGTGACTCCGCGCAGCAGCAGGACGGTGAGGACGACATAGGGCATCGTGGCTGTGATCCACACCACCTGCACACACACACACACGCGGCATGAATGTCATGTACAACATAAATGCATCACATTTATATGATGCTTAAACTACCAAACAACTAAACATTCACTTATATTCCAAAAACGGAACAGCTGCATAACAGCTGTAAAGTGGATTTGTGAAAAATTATATTTTGAAAGTATGCAAGCACATCTAATCTATCAGACACACTGATTGGTTGATGTTTGCTGGTCTCCTGGTCTGGCCAGTCTGGTTTGTTTTAGAGGGGCTTTGTGCGCTTACACATTAAACACCAGTCTGGAGAGAGCAGAAGACAAGCAAACCACCGGAGGTTCATGTAAGATCTCCAACCTTCCCTGAGGTCTTGACTCCCTTCCACAGACTGAAGTAGAGCACCACGATGACCACGGCCAGGCAGGAGGTGAGCTGCCAGCGTGGCAGACCCAGGTCATCGATGCCGGAGCTCTCGTGAAGATGCAGCATGCCCCTCCTGCAGATCAACATCAACACATGATCATACTCTATGCTCACGGGCTCAGGGGCCAGTAGCATAAACTTGTTAAGACTGTGTCTTAAGAACTAGTTTGACCAAATCTAGTTTGAGTGACGAATGGAGCTCAAACGTAGATCACGGCGTACCTGCAGCATCAGCTGACACTCAGCTGATCGAAACTCCTCCCACTACAATTAATAAGAAATATAAGTTCATCCGAACTCGCACTTGGCAAATTGGGCCACACCCATCGATCACTCAGGAATGCAAATCGGGCCTTAAAATCGGCCTTGAAGGGGTCATCAGATGTCCATTTTCCAAAAGTTGATATGATTCTTTTGGGTCTCAATGAAAAGTCTATAACATACTTTGGTTAAAATTTCTCAATGGTAGTGTAAAAACCCCCCTTTTTACCCTGTCAAAAGCAGCTGTTTTAGTCCATGTCACTTTAAATGCTAATGAGCTCTGCTGACCCCGCCCCTCTCTTCCGTGGGGTGACGAGCAGACTGTAAACTTCAGCCGCGAAACTGGCTAACTAGCACATTATTAGGAAAGGCGATTTGCATCATAAAAATTGCATCATTGCGATCATAAAAAAAAACCCTTATACTCACTTCTTCAGTAGATGAAGCTGGATCATGAATGATTCGCGCGAACATGAACACATTTCGGCAGATCGGGGATCGTGCATTCCCTTCAAAAACGAAAGTAACATTAATCCTCTGCTTCTTCAGCGGCTCAGATGTCGGGAGTAAATAACGACTACTATGTTCATTATTACATAACTCTAACCCTAACCTGAGTCGACACAATGGCGGACTGATGACAGCTCACTCAGGGCGGAGCTAAGGTAAGACGGCCTTGTCAATCAACTATTGTGGGAGGGGCCTGTGCAGAACTACATCATTCTGACAGGAATCTCAGAAGAGCCTGATTTGAGAAAAGGGATTTTAAAAAAAACACTGGGTGGATTTGTATCATTATAGGGTGGATGTGTACACACACTTACAACACACATTTATGTTCAAACAACATGTAAAGTGAATTTTGCATCCGATGACCCCTTTAAAATCGTCTAGTGTGCAGCCAGCATTACTTTTCCAATACAAATAAAACCAATCTACCTTTTCATTACTGAATTTAAAAAAAGTTATGACCAGTCTTATCAATTTTACAGTCTCTGCTCTGGCTACATATTAAGTTCCGCATCAGAAACAAAACCCTTAACAGTCTAGCTCCATGCGTACCTAACTAGTCAATTTTTGCTTGGATGGAACAGCAGCTACGCTAATTTCATCTCTATCTGCTTCTCTGTTTCTGCCACGGGATTGACATTAACTAGGAATTACACAAGCTTCAGTCTGGATCCAGCCCTTACAAAGACCTGAGAAGAGATGATGCCAACCCTGAAACAACATACAGAACTACCAAACTTTGCTATACGCTTAATCGCAACATATAATCGTTGCAGTTAATAGTGTTCACCATCTGTTTGATTGCATGTCATTAACTAACTGCTTGATTTTTACTGTACATTTCTGCCATATGCACATCAACGTGTCATACTCACCACTGATAAGCTAATACTAAATATAATGTAGAAACTTTCAAATAGAAACTTACATTTTCTGTAAAGCTGCTTTGCAACGATTTGCATCATGAAAAGTGCCATGCAAATAAACTTGAATTGAATTGAAAAGCCTTGAAGCAAAAAAAAATAATAGATAACTAACTTTTAAGACTAGTCTAAACAGTTCATGCAGCCGGCCGCAGGTCAGTGTCTGTGAAGGTCATGTGTACGTACTCGAAGTACTCGAGCGCCGGCGTGGTCTTGTACGTGTCGTTGAGCAGCGTGGAGTTGAGGTCGGAGCAGTTGGGACTGTTCCAGGTGTTGTTGCAGTGGATCCAGGGCAGCTCCCCGGAGAAGCAGGAGAACAGGTAGAAGAGAGCCCAGGCGATGATCACGTTATAGTAGAAGCCCACGTACAGCGAGATCAGGATCACCGTGAAGCCCACGCCTGAGCAAAACCAGCAGAAACATGAAGATACTCCTGCTGGAAACACCATCAGCTGCTCACCGGCTTATGTTCCGGGTGAGGGTGTGCTGGTTAACTAACTAGTTTAACTAACTCGTCTTCACCATACAGACCGTGCTGGTCAGTCAGCCCATGGTAGACCACCAGCTAAAACAACACCAAACCAGCACTAACTGGTCTAAGGTGATCTTTTCAGCAGGGATATTAGATGACGACATTTACATTTAAATTCATAACGTAAAATATAATGAAAAAATAATAATAATATGCAATTCAGATGAGGGAATCCATAAACTGCACTGAAGAAAAAATGGTGTAGGATTTACTTTAACAATTAACAATTTTCACTCAGAAATTGCTAGTAAATTTCACAAATAATAAAAAAAAGGCAAGTAACATACTGAAACAAGATATTTTTAAATAGTATTTTCTCTGTACTCCAATAATCATTTAGTTATTTATTTATTTATGCATTCATGCACGTATGTATGCATGTCACGGGGCGGTAAGGGGCACCGTGGAAAAACAGGGTCTGGGTCTAAATGCAGGTGAAAACGTCTTTATTCAAACAGAAAGGCCAACAAGGCAAAACAAAAACAGGTCTGGGGACGACGAACACCATTACATACACAATACAGCCAGGCCGAGTGGTGAGTGAGAGGAGAAGATATAGTCAGTGACAACGGGGCACAGCTGAGGGTGAGTGTGATGAGTGAGTGACTGAACAGGTGTGTGGAGTTTGGGGAATTGGTGTAATGAGTGAACAGGTGTATGGGGTTTGGGGAATGGGAGTCCGGGAGATGACGCCCTCTGGAGGAGAGAGGGAGAACACCAGACGCCAGACCCTGACAATGCATGCAATATTTATTTATTTATTTATTTATTATTTCCTACATTTAAAAGGACACAAATGAATTTAGCATTTATCTTCTCAAATTATCTTAATATCATTATTAATTTAATTTACTTTCATTTAAATAATTAAAGTTATCATAACTTTTTAATGCTAATTGTTTCTTGTTTCATGTTTTACAAACATTGTCATGTTGATTATATTCACAAATATACATTATTAATAACCATATCAATAACAACTGTATCAATAACCTATATTAATAAATACATAGTAACTGTAAAGAATCCCAAATTAGCTACTGGCTGCTGAATCAAAGCATAATTTAGACTAAATTTCCAATCCTGGCCTCTTGGGGTTATTTCTTGACATTTTTGAGAAATGAACATTTTAAATGTGTTTAATTCTGAAGCCCAAATCATGTCCTGAATTCAGTTAAGAGGATAAAAAAAAGAAAGAAAAAGCAAACCACATATAAAATAGATTTCGCTCATTGCATTTCACTCATTAGCTCATATAATATTCTTCTTCTTTTTTTTTCATTTTGACCGACCGACCAACGTTTTCTCCTTACATTAAGTTGTAGCTACACTGTTTGTGTAAATGCCAGAAATGCAGTATTCACTGCGGTCTTTACTCCTGAAGAAGTTCCTGCAGCACGTCAGTCAATCAAAATAACAGAAAGACTCACACAATCAGAGCTAGTCTGAGTTTTCAGAGTTAGTTATAAACCCCCCGTGGCTCGTCTAACGGAGCTCTTTGTCTGAAAGCAAACAGCAGGATTCTCCCGTCACACATCAGCAGCACATGTGTGATTCCCGGCCCGCACAGGCCATCGATCCGGAGGAAGCAAACATGTTGATCAGCGCTAATTACAGTAATCTCTCCTCGAGCGGCAGGCTCACAGAGAGCCAAGCTTGTGATTAAAATGTCCGTCTCCGTCTCTCTCTCTCCGAGAGACGCTTGACAGCCGTTATGGACACACAAAACAGGCGTTTTTTAGGAAACAGATGATGCTTTGTCAGCCCTGAAGAGTGTTCGCAAATACGGCTCTACAGCAGGTTTAGAAATATACAGATTCAGCTGAAGAGCATTCACGGTGATGGACTGATATCACCTTCAGAAGATTTCCCCACTTAAAATCCAACATGCATCAACAATTCTAACAAACCAGCACCAGAACAGCTGATATATCCAGAAAACTAGCTGGTGTGATTATTTGGAGAACAAGAAAGTCCCAATTATCTTCTTCAAAGCACTTCTCCTACCACATCAGAAGCCTTTTTTTTTAATTGTGTATATTTAATATGCTACACCACATTTAAAATATAAAAACATCCAACTCAAGTGTTAGTTTTGTAAATAAATGATGTGTTGCTAAATTATGTTATGTTAAAGCCTTTAGATCAAAAAGTTGATCAAGATTAAATGTGTGTCCAAAATATGTCCAAAACCAGTGATATTTTACTATAATTCATACTAGTATCGTTTGTATTAATATTTGAAATTCATTTTTTATATTTTCTTAATTTTAGTTAAAGCTTTAGTATTTGTGTTGTGTTTTTGTCATTTTTATAAATTTTTTTAATGTCTATGTAGTTCTTATTAATTATATTTTAGTTGTATTTATTTTAGTACAGCCAGTTAGACTAAATGGAACTGAGAAATGCTGCTTAGGTGAAGTGAAATGAGTTTAAGATATATAAAGATATTGTTTTGTTGTCTTGTTTATTGAGGAGCAGTGAAGAACTTAAGGTCACGGTGCTTCGGTATCTTCTGTATGCTGGTGTCATGATGCGATACCAGTGAAGTGACACGAAATGTGTGGCCCACCAACAACTGGGGCCTGGCAGGCAAATTTCATACTAAAAGCCAATTTTTCTGTCTTCCATTTGACTGCAGATGATTTGAGCTGGAGATAAACAGCACCTGTCCGCCGTTTGCCGTGATGAGCTTGTTTCGGGAACACAAACACCTTCTGCCTCAAGAGCCAGTGCACATCTGATCATAACAGCGCGGTCACCTTTAGACTTACACAGGCCAGAGGGCCATAGTCAATCACACACTAAGGGAAACTTTCTGAAGGTCACGTACCTTTAAAGATGGGGCAGATCTTCCAGACTCCTGCTGCTCCTTCACGGTTGTACTGACCCAGAGCTAGCTCCATATAGAAGAGCGGCATCCCAGCGATCACCATGAAGAAGAGGTACGGCACCAGGAACGCACCTGACACAACCGCACCATTACAGAGCACAAGCATACTCAGATATACATGTTAGAGTAAGAGTGTGATGATGAAAACTCTGAAATAACACCAGTGGAAGTCTGGGAATCATGTCATGACGACAAATGAAAACTTGCTTTTATTTGAGCTTCTTCTTTGTCTAGATTCACTCTGAACAGAGGAGCACTGCTTTCTTCTCGAACTGTTACAACTCAGTAAAAATAATCAAATTAACAACTAAAATGTTAGTTTTGCAATATAATATAATATAATAACAAACTTTAGTTTTGTAAAAAAATAAATAAAATAATAATAATAACCAAAATGTAAAGAAATTAGATGTCTACAAAATTCATTTTAAACATTTAAGCAAAAGCAAAAACTTTTTAGATAAAGTAATCAAGATTTAAAGTATGGCAAATAGTTTAGTGTTATTTTAGTATCATTAAGATACTATTATAGTTTTTATTCATATTTAGAAATTTAAATTTAAATTTATTTGTCTGTATAGTTTTTATACATTTACATTTTTGTTATTTTAGTATATCAAGTTAAATTAAATGAAAATGTGAACTAAACTAAATAAGTGCATTTTTTTAAAGCTTTTTAAATTTATTATTATTATTATTATAGTTAAATATAATAACCCTGGTCCAAACTGGTGATGTACATTGAGTTCACATTTTTGGTTCGTCAAGGTTTTACAGGCTCTATGTCGTTAAGCTTTTACATTTTAAATCAACATCTCTCTTGATTTCTCAGGCCGTCTAATTTAGCTGTAAATGGCCAATTTCCACAGAAAATCTATATTCCTGCAAAAGTTTAATCAATCTCATCCACATGGATTTGTGAAGCACGTCTCAGACTTGTCTGTCTCTCACCTCCACCATTTTTGTAGCACAGGTAAGGGAACCTCCAGACGTTGGCGAGGTCCACGGCGAAGCCGATGACGGACAGGAGGAAGTCTATCTTCTTGCCCCAGGTCTCGCGCTCCTCTCCGGAGGGGTGCGTCTGACCGCTGGGACTGACCAGAGCCGAGGAGGTGAACTGCACCCCATTCTGCTCCTTCACCAGGATCAGCTCCACCTCTTTGGGGCCGGCGGTGCCGGAGGGTTTGACGGGGGCGATGGCCGAGGACATGTGTGTGACCGGGAGTCTGCCTCTTAGCATGGGTCGCCGGCGGGCCGTGGAGGACGAGAGAGCGGCTCAGACGCAGAAGCCTCTCTGATGGGATGAGGAGAGCAGAGATGGACGTGAGGAGGAGAAAGACGGAGGGAGGAGCAAATCAGCCATGTTGATCAGAGATCCAGATCCGACAGAGCTCGCTAAGAGTCTGAACTAGACCGATCTATTCCACAGTCCGCAAATACAGCACATGTAGAGCCATTCGAAGAGAAAGCACTTCAAAATAGTCATTATGTTGTAATAAACGTGTTATTATGTTGTAATAAACATGTTATAAATATCTCGGAACAGCCAAAACCCTTCTAGCAAATGCCACAGGTATCTAAATGAACAGTTTTACTCAAATCAAAACATTTAATCACCAAATCAATTCTTCAACCAAAATCATTTTAAAATAGATCTCCTTACAGTTGTACTGTTTACAAATATTGTTCATACACTGACAAAAATGTTTTTTTAATCAAAAATTGCTAGTAAATTTCACAAATGGCATGAACTGAACATGAATTTTGGAAGTAAAAATAGTGAAATAGTATTTTCTTGTAAAACATACTCCAATTATCTCTCTTTCTTTAACAGTGTTTTATTTTTATTGATGTTTTATTGCTAAATAAAGACCAAAGTGTGGTTTAATTAACTGATACATACACAGTAAAAATTAATTTTTTTAAAGTTCCAAATAAAATAAAGATGATTGTAGTACAGAGAAAATACTCTTTGAGTCTTTCTACTTCACAGATTTAACGTAATTAAATGCTTCACTTGTTGTTACATTGTAATTATCTGTGAAATTTACTTGCAGTTTCTAGGAGAACATTTTCTCAACACAATTTTTTTCCCCAGTGTATAGAATAAATTCTGCAAAATATTAAATGAATCTGACCACAATTAAGCTGCAAATATTGAAATGAAAAAAGAAAACCACAATAATCATATAGCTAGTATAGAATCTAATTTCTATGACAAACTCAACTGCAGCCCAAACAAGAGCACAAAACCTGACTCTCTGAAAAGCAGCACCTGTTGAGTTTCTGAGATCTGAACTATCTGTCCAAATAGCAATCATGCCATAAAACAGTGTAAAAGCATAATAAAATTCTACCTTCAGTGTGGGGTAAAGCACTTCTCCAAACAGCCTCTTACTTCTCCATGCGTTGATGATCCTCGTCAGTGTGTGCAATAATTACAGCCATTCTTTGCGAATGCAGACGTGAATGAGGAGCGTGGATGGTCTTTCTCCCACACAGGTAGAAGCAAACACTCTTCCACTGACCACAGCCGATGGAATATGAAGGACGAGTACCTTCCCATGTCTCCTCCTCCTCCTCCTGCTCTCTGACACCTCCTCATCTGCTCCTTCATTTCAATAAATCTCTTCAAATCCAGAGCAGAAGCAACACCAGGAGACAATGAGGCTGCTTTTCAGAGATTATCCTGAATTGCATTTCTTCCCTTTTTTAAAACAGTCATTTTTTTCTTGTTTTAAACATAAACTCAAAAGTTTAACAGTGAAACAAAACAGTTAGATTTATGCTTAAAACAAGAAAACAAAACCAAACATATCTCATTTTAATTTCTCAGTGGTTAGTCTTTGCTAAAGCTGGACCTAGAGCTGTAAAAAAATAAATAATAATAAATAAAAACTAGATAGTTAGAGTATATTTTACAAGATAATACTATCTCAGTCTTTCTGCTCCCCAATCTTATATTTCAGTGTGCTACCTGCTGTTTCTCTATAATTGTTTGTGAAGTTTACTAGCCATTTTTGAGTGAAAGTCATTTCAAGTAAATCCTACACTAGTAGTTTTTTTACTGTATGAAATACAGTTGGAAAGCAGCAAGAACATCTTGATGAGAAATGTTTACAGTGAGATTGTCTGATTGCAGACCATGTGAGAATACAGAGGAGAAACGTCTGAGGAGCAGGAGATCAATTTGCTCTCCATTAACATTAATGGAGAAACCACTGAGACACTGAGGAGAATTCAATGGCCCACAGCACTGCTCAATGAATGAAGTGAACATGTGTGGTTTTAGGGAAGCATGTGGCGTGATTGTGGCGATGTGATGATATTTCAGCATGTTAATCTTGGCCTGAGGCTGAGCATTAATCATCTGAAGACTGCATCTGTTGAAGTGAGACAGCAGTTTGGCTCCAGCGCAGCAAATACCAGATCAAATGGAGGTTATCATCTTACCCTTTCACACATATCACAGATTCACAGTCAAACAACAAGACCTGTGTTGATGATGAGAACACAAACCTTCATCTGACTCTGCCAAACCAAAATACTTCAAGTGACAGTAAAGAAGATCAGAATTCAACACCGTTTACAGAACATACAGCAGATTCCGTGAGACGGTAACCCATCCGGTTACTAATGTAATCTCGGTTCCCTGAGATAATAGGAATGAGCGTTGCATAAACACGGTTATGGGGAAACTCCTGTAACTCTGAATGCTGAAGTCTAATTTGCTCACGTTTGTGTAGCTGCACAAACATATGGCATTTCAGCCTGCCAAAACAAGTGAAGCCAACTGCTTATATATAAGTCAGCACTGAATGAAGTTTCAACAGAATCTTTCGACTGATCGACTCAGGTAACCGAGGTTACATTAGTAACTGGAGCGTTCCCTTTCGAAAATGGTCTCTCACGTTGCATAAACACGCTTATGGAGAATGAGTCCAATAGCGTTGTGCTATAAATAAGCGCTGAATTAAAAAAAAAAGCCACTCTGCAAGCCCAGCCCCAGAACACCCAGGGTCTACATAACAAAGACCTTTTCCAATCATATAGGGGATCAAGGTGATCAGGCAGAAAAGATCCATGCCTGAAGGGCAAGGACATCCAAGTTATAAAACCTAGGGAAGGTAGAGAGTGAAGACCAGCCGGCTGCCACACAGATATCTCTGATCGAGACTCCTCTGGAGTGCTGCTCTGGTTGCCTAATGTGGCTAGAGCACTAAACTTACGTAAACTTTAAAAGCCCTAACCAGGCATAGTGCATTAGGACCCTGCTCGTCCTATGATTTAGGAAGATCCAGAAGAGTGATAACCTGTGCTCTGAAAGGAGTGAAGAGTATCTTGGGCATATAGCCGTGTGTTGGTTTGAGGACGACTTTAAAGTCATTAAGCCCACTCAAGACAAGAAGCGCTGAGTGAAAGTGCTTGCAGATCGCTCACTCGCTTGACTAATGCTAAAGCCAATAAGAGGGCGGTCTTAAGCAACAGAGGCTGTAAGTCGGCCGACTGGAGCGGCTCAAAGGGAGGACCTCGAAGGGCCCTGAGGACTGTGGATAAGTCCTGGGTCAGCACAGTATGAGGATGAGGCAGATTCAATCTCCGAGCTCCCCTCTGGAACTTAACAACAAGGTCATTATTGCTGACTGACTGGCCAGCCACAAGAGTGTGATTCACTGCAATAGCTGCCACATATACTTTGAGCAATGAAGAGGTGTGCCCCTTATCCAGCAGCTCTTGCAAAAAAGGTTAGAATGGATGACACGTCACATGAGGACAGGTCCTCATTTTGGACTGCATACCAGTCAGAGAACACAGACCACGTAAGGGCATAGAGGTGTCTCGTAGACAGGGCTCTAGCCTCCAAAATGGTGTTAGTTATGTGGATGTGGAGCTGTCAAGACTCCCATTGAGGAACCAAACATGAAGGCTCCACAGCTCGGGCCGGGGCTGCCAAATCAAGCCTCTTGCTTGGGAGAGGACATCTGAGGGAGCAGGGCAATCGGAGGGAAGGAATGCAGACAAGCGTTCCTTTGAGAAATAAGTTGGGCAGTGAGAGTCTTCTGAGGCGAAGAGGTCTACCTCTGCACTCCCGTAGACAGACCATACTTTCTGAACCACTTGGGGGGTGTAGTCTCCATTCTCCTGATCTGATGCAGGCAAGGGGCCTTCCAAGGAGCCACAGCTCTGATGCAGCGGTGGGTCACCTGGAAGTGAAGGCATCCCAGGCGTCAAGTGTGGGATGGTACATGGGCATTGAGCCAGAATTGGAGGGGCAGCATGTGAAGCCATGTGAAGCAGGCCCAGAGGAATCACAGAGGAGGCAGCCGACATGAGGCTGAGCATACTCTGGAAAACTTTGAGGGGGTGAGAAGTCCCCAATGTGAACAACGCCGCTAGCCTCTGAATTGTTAGTAAGCATCCCGTCGTGAGCCAGGTCTGCATCTGGGCCGAATCGATAACTGGCTTCCCCCTGGCTGTGAGAATGAATGCACTTGGCTAAATACATTTTGAGCCCAATGCACACTATGTGACTAAGCAGCAGTGTGAGCAGGAATTTCCTGATCCGATCTGGCTAACACAAGCCAATTATCAAGGTAATTCATAATGCAGATTCCCATCTGTCTCAGAGGGGAAAGAGCCACAGCCATGCACTTCATAAAAAATCAAAGGAGCCAGAGACAGTCTGAAAGGCAGGACTGTATATTGATAAGCCACCCCTCAAATGCAAATCTCTAGAATGGTCTGTGATGAGGGGCTATTTCAGGCATTGGCAAAGTCGATCCTGGAGGGCTGGTGTCCCTGCAAAGTTTAGCTCCAGCATCAAACACGTGTCTTTAGAAGTTTTGTGAAAATGGCTAAAGATTCAGCTGCTCGGATTGAGACAGGCAGGTCATTCCACCAGCTGGGAACAGTCCAGGAAAAGGTCAGTGAGTGTAATTTTGTGCCTCTTTGTGATGGCACCACGAGGCGTCGTTCACTTGCAGAAAGCAAGGTTCTGGAGGGCGCGTAGGTCTGAACTAGCGTGTGTAGGTATATTGGTGCAGTGCCAGTGGTTGTCTTGTAGGCAAGCATCAGTACCTTAAATTTGATGTGAGGGGCTATTGGCAGCTAGAGCAAGCTGATGAAGAGAGGTATGACGTGAGCACTCTTCGGCTCGTTGAAGGCCACTCTTGCTGCTGCATTCTGGATCAGTTGCAGAGGCTTGATAGTACATGTAGGAAGGCTGCAAAAAGTGCATTACAATAGTCCAGTCTGGAGAGAACAAGAGCTTGGACAATGAGTTGTGCGGTCTGCTCTGATAGGAAGGGTCTAATCTTCCTAATGTTGTATAAGGCAAATCTGCAGGACCGGGCCGTTAGAGCAATATGGTCTGTGAAGCTTAACTGATCATCAATCACAACTCCAAGGTTCCTGGCTGTACTGGAAGGAGTTATAGTTGACGAACCTAGCTGTATAGTGACGTTGTGATGAAGTGCTGGGTTGGCTGAGACCATGAGTATTTCTGTCTTAGCAAGGTTGAGTTGAAGGTGATGATCCTTCATCCAGCCAGAAATGTCTGTCAGACTGGCTGCAATGCAAGCAGCTACTGTCGAATTGTCTGGTTGGATTGAGAAGTAGAGTCGAGTGTCATCAGCAAAGCAATGATAGGAAAATCCATGCTTCTAAATGACAGATCCTAAAGATGACATGTGGAGAAGAGAAGTGGTTCAAATACTGAGCCTTGAGGAACCCCAGTAGCAAGAAGTTGTGACTTAGAAACCTCACCCCTCCAAGACACCCTGAATGACCTACCTGAGAGGTAAGACTTGAACCACTGGAGTGCGGTTCCTGAGATGCCCATTTTCATGAGGGTGGACAGGAGGATCTGGTGGTTAACTGTGTCAAAAGCAGCAGACAGATCCAGCAAGATGAGTACACGCCAGGGATGGCTTCCCAAGCCCGGAGCCGGGCACAAGGAGTCTGAGCTTTTTGAGTATCAGTTCGCTGTACGGGGGCAGGGAACTGACATTCGTGCTGTTGTGAAGAGGAGAAGTGCTCTTTTAAGTAGGTGGGTCTGCTATGACAGTGGTAATTTGCTCAGGCACATGCTGAGTGGGAAGGACAGGCACAGTATGAACAGAACTTCACTTAAAGGCTAAGGCAGGAAGCGGCACATGGCCTGCAATGACTTCTTTGCTGCAGTGATGCGCTCTGTGCTTGAACTTCCAGGAACAACTGTGACATCTTTGGTGGGAGATTCGCTTATGATGTCCTGGCAGGGACCATTCGTATAGGCGGCTGCGGGCAGGCTCTTTTGGAGCCGACCATTCTAAGCTGAGTTCCTCCACAGCCTTGATGAGGATGCAAATCAGCTCGCTGTCCACGCCGACCCATGTTGACTCTTTAAGGGGAAGGGTGCCGGGATCCTCTCCAGAGCACATACAATTATCTGCATCTGAAGCTGTCAGTGACATGGAGTCTTCAGCGACAGCTTCCTCCTCAGATACACCAAAGGAGACCAAACTCCTC